TTCATTTATCTCTCTTTTATTTTTGTAATTTAATTTTAGATGTAAATACAAATATGTTTATTGTTCGCTATTTTTTTTATTACTTCGTGCCTTAAAATACAAAAAATAACTAATCTATATAATAAAATACAATAAAATTCAAATTTTAAAAGATAAATAAAATAATTTTTTCTTTTCACGATTGAGATCTCTTTAAATTTTATTTTAAAGTTAATTCAACGGTTAATATTAACCTCCAAATTAATAGAAAAAAATGGGCTCCTAAAGATGTGTTTGTAGTAATTTTTTAAAAAAATTTTAGAACTTACAACTTCTCATAAATAAGTTAAAAAAAGTATTGTTTGGAACTATCTCACCACCAACATTACCACTACCACCACTCTCGCCACTACCACTACCACCACCCTCACCACTACCACTACCACCCTCACTGCCCCACCACCATCACCCCACCACCACACCACCCTCTCACCACCATCATCATAGCTGTCGCCACCATCACACCACCACCTCTACCATAACAACCACCATCATCACCATTGTCGCCACCCCACTATCACCACCACATTCACCGCCCTACCACCACCATTAGCATGGCGACCACCACCACCATTGCCACTCCACAACTACCTCTTCCACAACAACCACAACCTTACCACCACCATCCCCACTACTACCACCCCCATCGCTGCGCCACCTTACCTCCACCGTTACTATCCCACCATCACCCCTACCACCACCACAATTATCATTGTCACTCATAGTTGCCACTATCACAACCAATTGTTGTCTCCCGTCACCACTCGCCCTTACTACAATCAGTGCTTAAATTCATTTCTCTCTTCTCTATCTTTGTAATTTGATTTTGAATGTGAATACAAATATGCTTATTGTTGATATTTTTTTTATTACTTTGTACCTTTATGCACGAGGAATAACTAATCTATATAATAAAGTACAATATAATTAAAATCTCAAATGATAAATAAAATAATTTTCATCACCACCATCGTCGTTGCCACCACCATTGTCGTCGCCACCACCATTGTCGCTACTCCACCATTATCCCGCCACCACCATCCCCACTACCATTACCGTTGCTACCACCATCGCCACTGTCCCACCATTACCCGTACCACCACGACCCCTACGGCCCCACTACCACGACCATCACCATTTACCACCACCATCACAACTGATCATTGTCACTCACCACAACCGTCACCATTTACCACCACCACTACAGTCGCCCACCACCACTACCACCACTTGCGCCCACTACAATCGGTGTTTAAATTTATCTCTCTCTCATTTATCTTTGTAATTTAATTTTGGACGTGAATACAAATATGTTTATTGTTCACTATTTTTTTATTCCTCCGTGCCTTCAGACACGGGAAATAACTAATTTATATAACAAAGTATAATACAATTCAAATTTCAAAAGATAAACAAAATGACTTTTTCTTTTTACGGTTGAGATCTTTTTAGATTTTATTTTAAAGTTAATCCAACGGTTAATATTAACGCCCAAATTAATAGGAAAATGAGGCCCCTAAATGTGTGTTTGAAGAAATTTTTAAAAAATATTTTTAAAACTTATAATTTCTTATAAATATATTAAAAAAAATAGTGTTTAAAACTATCCCACCATCACCATTACCACTACCCCCACTATTACCATTACCACCCCCACACCCACCACAATCACCATCACCATTACCAGCCCTACCCCCACCGCCCCATCATTATCACAACTATCACTCCCACCACTATTATCACCACCACCCTCCCACCACCATCACCGCAGTTGTCGTCGCCACCTCTCCACTATCTGTACCATAATAACCATCATCGCCATCCCTGTTGCCACCCCACCACCACCACCACCATTGTCACTTCACCACTACCTCTTCCACAACAACCATCAACCCACCCCCACCATCCCCACTACCACTACCCCCACCTTACCACCACCTCTATCGCAACCTTACCACCCCTATCACTTTTCCACCATCACTCCTACCACTATCACTCTCACCATCATCATTACCATTGCCACTATCACAAATCGATTGTCGTCTCCCATCACCACTCGTCTTTACTACAATCAGTGTTTAAATTCTTTTTTGTTTCACCTATCTTGTAATTTAATTTTGAGTGTGAATACAAATATGTTTATTATTGACTTTTTTTTTATTACTCCGTTCCTTCAGGCACGAAAAATAACTAGTCTATGTAATAAAGTACAATACAATTCAAATCTTAAACGATAAACAAAATAATTTTCGCTTTTCACAATTCAGATCTCTTTAAATTTTACTTTAAAATTAATCCAACGGTTAATATTAACACTCTCAATTTAATAAGAAAAATAGGCTCCTAATGGTGTGTTTGGGACGACTTTTTATAAGTGTTTCTAGAACTTATAACTTTTCATAAGTATTTAAAAGAAAAAAAGTAGTGTTTGAAACCGTCCCACCACTACCACCACAACCCACATTACTATCACCACCATGCCCCTATTACCACTACCACCACCACTCCACCACCACCTCTGCCACGATAACCACCAACCCCTGGTTCTACCACCACCACTTATGCCACCCCACCACTACCACTACTACCACACCCACCGCTGCCTCCATTCTACCACCGCCACCACCACCACCACCACCACCACACCCACAACCCCACCACTATTACCACACCCATCGCCCCGTCACTACGCCCCACCACCACTATCGTCGCCACTTTACCACTGTCGTCATCCTACCACCATCGTTGTCTCACTATCACCCCTATTATCACCACCCCCATGACCATCACCACTACCACCACCCTTCGCCATGCCACCATCATCCCCGCCTCCACCCACACTATGGCCACTGCCCAACCTCCACCCCTACCACCTTTACCCCATTATCATTACCCCAATGCCACCACCATCGCCACCCACCACATATTATTATCATCGTCGTCCACGCCCACCACCATCGTCATTTCATTCTTATATTTATTACAATTACCACCATTATCCCACTACTACTGTTGCCAACCGTCAGTACCCACTACAACCATTGTTGCCTACAATCACCCATTACCACCCACCACCACCACCACTCGTCGTCTCCCACCATCACCGTCAACCACTGTCATCCATATTCACCACACCTAACACCAACCCCCCTTCATTGTCCACAATTGTCACCATCACACTAACCACCACCATCGTCGCCTCCATTTGCCACCACCCATCACATTATCGCCTAGAAGCACTTGTCGTCGCCCACCACCGCCATCGTTACTGTCCACCACCAAAACCCACCACCATTACTATACCTGTCGCCTACCACCTCCCACACCCACCACCACCACCCCCGTTACCCATGACTTCCACTACAACCATCGTCACCCAAAAAACCACCACCACCATCATCGTTGCCACGTACGCCACCACTACCATGGTTGTCGCCACCACCACAACCATCATCGTCTCGCAGCACCATCACTGTCGCCCACCACCAGTACCACCGCTCACCTCCACTACAACTGGTGCTTAAATTTCTTTCTCTTTCTTCTATATTTGTGAATTAATTTTGTATTTGAATACAAATATGTTTATTGTTGACAATTTTTTTTATTATTTTTTGCTTTTAGGCATGGGCAATAACTAATTATAAAATAAATAAAATGAGCCTCATTCATAGATGTGGTTATGTATTACATTGTTGAGTAGTTATAAATTTTTATGAAATTCATTTGCAAACTTATTTGTGGACGATTACATGGAATATTTTTTTTTGATTTTTTTCCTCCACATTAGGAAACAATGTCAACTTCACTTCTTTACCTAATCATCCTTTTTTGATCAAAAAAAAAAAAAATAGATAATCATCCTTCTACTATTTTTTCTTAAAACAACCTGAAAGTCCTCTGGTAAGAGCATTTCCAATAGAGATGTTAAATACTATATGCCAAATTTAAATTTGAAGGCTTATAAAACAATTTGACATATAACATATGATATTTTCACCTTTCACTCCAACCGATATAGTCTCGTTCTTGATCATATTTTGTATTTTTTTCCCCTTAATCTCAATTTATATTTAAAAAAAAAATAACACATCCAATACCAATAGAATATTACTGTATCTATTTGATGGCTTTCATATATTGAACAATTGTATATGGTATCATTATGCTATTGCCTATGCTATCATTTTAACCTTTTTTTTTCAGATCTTACACCTTTATCCATTTCATTGTCAGTGTTTTTACCCCTCTTTACACCTTGTACTCACCACGTTACAGTCACGTCATGAACTTTTGGTGGGGGGGATGAATGATAGATGTCTTATTCGAAACACCATGGGCCTTTGGCCTTATTCATGTGGGAAATTGCAGTTTTTTTACATCACCTTTGGGATTCTACTGAATATTGTTTAGAAGTTAACTATTTATTTAACCTACGACAATATCGTTATGTGAATCAAATCCTTAAATTATATTGTATGTCAATTTAATTCATAAATTATAAAATATGACCCGTCTATTAAAATTTATTGTTAATTTTGACAAAAACCTTTTAGACTATAGTTTAAGCATAAAGGGTCGAATGATGTGCAAGTGACTGTTTTTTTTTTTTTTTGGTGATTCAATGGTAAAGGGTATACAAATCAATTTATGTATACTTCGATTAATCTCTTATTTAGTCCAGTCAAAAATAAATTATTTATACCGAAATTAGAATATTTATAATTTGGGCCCAAAAAATTGCTAAGATATAAATCAGGATATCTAGATTTACAGTTTGTTTTTATTATTACTTGTCCAAGTGAGAGTAAATTTTGAATTTGGACGGAAGGGCAAAGACTAAATTGGTAAAAAAAAAAAAACATAATTAAATAACTTGATTGTCAGAAATTATATAGTTTAAAATCTAAATAGCTAGTTAGATTATAATAATATTACTTCTGATCAATCTTCTTCTTATTTTGGTCTACCAAAAGTCTTCCGACCTTCATTCACTACACTTGCTACTACCCATCAGGGCTTTTTGGTCGGATCTCAATCTTCAAAGGCCACTGTAACCCTCTCTTCCTCTGATCTATACATACATGTAAGGTCGAATATATATAGTCAATCTGATCTTTGTTTCCATAGCCATATACCCAATCGAATTTGGTGTTCATTAATGGCTTCACCTGGAAATCCAAATCAACCACCATTTGATGTGCACAAATTCTTCAAACCCACAGCACCAACAACGACGATAACGGCAAACCCTAATCCCCAAAACCCAAACTCTTCTTCACCATTCCCTCCCACTACTTATCCTCCACTCCCTTCTGCTTCTTATCCTCCACCCACCGCTGGCCCTTACTCTTACCCTCCTCAATCCTCACCTTTTCAACACCAACAATACCACCATATCCCTCAATACCCACCACCACAAGATAATCAGTTTGCTAACTTGTACCACCAGAGATCTATATCTTTTCCTACACCGCCTATTCAACCTCAATTTCCTAATCCCCAAAACCCTAACCCTGGTGCCACACTCATGGCTTTGTTAAGTGCCCCACCATCCACTTTTGAAGTTTCACAACCACCCACCTCGCCGATGCCCCCTATTCAGCCTTCCTCATCTGGGGGTTCCGATTTTCCGATGTCCCAAACTATTCCCATATTGGTTTCGGGTCCGAATGTCAATATTTCACCCTCGGCTCCGATGCGAATGCCGAGCAGTAAGCTTCCGAAGGGACGACATTTAGTTAGTGATCATGCTGTATATGATATCGATGATCGGTTCCCGGGTGAGGTGCAGCCTCAACTTGAGGTTACTCCAATCACCAAGTATGGTTCGGACCCTGGCCTTTTTTTGGGTCGTCAAATTGCAGTGAATAAGAACTACATATGTTATGGACTGAAACAGGGAGCAATTCGGGTGCTTAATATAAACACTGCATTGAGATCACTGTTTAAAGGGCTTTCTCAGGTTGGTGTCCCTGTGCCAAATGAAAATTTGTTTTTGGTATGTTGATGTTTTCATTTTGTTACAGCTTCATTGACTTTGTTTCATTGAAATGTTTATTTACTGTTTAACTAATAATGGATTGCTTTCTGATTTTGTTTTGATGGAAATGGTTCACAATCTAGCTTGAACCTTGTTGTAAAATGGTTTCATATTGTTCCATGTTGCAGTTTAAGGATTTTATATGTTTTGCGGAATGGAGGAACACATAAATTGTATGACTGGCGGATTCCCTTTACTGAGTACCTCATGCAGGTCTTTACTGCATGAAAATTGTGTGTGCGATTCTGAGGTGTCAAAACTTTTTGTGCAGATGTTGCTGTTGTTTAAATTGATAGTTAGGCATATTTCACCTTGCCTACTTCGCAATATCTCCTTCATGTACAGTTAATATAATTACTGGGGAGAATTTGCAGCTTTCTTTGGTCCTAATATGTAAAGAAGTGAACTGTTGAACATAGTCTCGAAGAACTCTAATTACTAACCTGGCATTCATACACATTGTGTTTTTAACTACCAAATGTTCTTTTACTTGTCAGGAACATTATAAATTATGAATGTACTTCAAATTTGGATATGCAAGTGATCAGAAACACAACTCTTAAGCATCAGACCAACTTATTTGACTAAGTTAAAACAATGGACTCCCGCTTCCACTTTTAAACCCCTTGTGTTTTGGCTGACCTCTGGACTTGCAATGCAATGGGCATTGTTAGTTTAATTATTTTTTAATAAACATTGTATGAAAACCAACTCTTGAATTGTCTTTTCTTTTCAATAATGGTTTTGTGTTTACAAACCAAGCTACAATATGAAGTTTCTATGCTGGCTTTAAACAATTTTTTCCTTTATACTGTGGCTAAAATACTTGAAAATTGAGGTGTAATGACAAACTGCTTCTTTTCGTGAAGATATTTAGGGATATTCATCGCTCTCACAAGTAATAACCATGGGTGACATGCAATTTGCTTTAAAAAATTGAAGACATATGATTCACTGAATAATCCATTTCAACTGTCTGGATGAATCATTAGAAATTATATTTTGCTTGTCCGCGTAGTTGTCACTTATTTCACTGATTTACTCAGCATAAGATGTTCAACTTCTTCATCTTTTGTTGGTCTTTTGATCTATGAGGCTAGATTCTTTTGTTTCTTTTCTATGATTAGTTAGATTATCATTATATCTGGAGAATGTGGTTTCACTGGACCGGACTACCAGTATTTCTCACTTTTGTGTTTTAATTCATCTTAGAATTGTTATTAACATCATTTTATCTCCTATGATATCTGTTGTAATGCAAACTGTCTAGGGGATCAGACAGATTTATTTGCGATGCTTGCTAAAATGCTGAATAGATACAAAAGGGAATGCCCAATATTTGTGTCTTCTGCTGATTAACATTGCAGAGTGCACCTATTCTTGAAGAAAAAAGAAAGAAACTTTTGATATTGTTCAGGTTTTATTTCGTTAACATATTCTACTCATTTATTAATGTGTATTACTCAGAAGGTGACAGACATGGCTTTTTTCGCTGAGGATGTTCACCTTTTGGCGAGGTATTGTCCTACTTTTCATTCATAAACTTCCTCCTTCTGGTTTGTCTTTGGTTTTGCTGATGCACTTGTCTGCAGTGCAAGTGTTCATGGGCGGGTTTATGTATGGAAGATTACTGAAGGTCCAGATGAGGAAGATAAGCCACAAATCACAGGAAAGATTGTCATCGCAATTCAGATAGTAGGAGAAGGGGAATCTGTTCATCCACGAGTTTGTTGGCATTGTCATAAACAAGTACTTATTTTTCTGATGTTCATCTAATTTCAATACTTGGACTTTGTTTGTATAGTGCTGTGTTAATTCTCTGGAAAGCTAAGTCATCTGATCGGTTCCTTATCTTACTTATTGTTGTACGCTCTCTTGCAGGAAGTACTTGTAGTCGGCATTGGAAAGCTTGTTCTGAGGATTGATACTACAAAAGTTGGAAAAGGTGAAGTATTTTCAGCGGAAGAACCTCTCAAATGTCACGTGGACGAGTTGATTGATGGGGTCCAGCTTGTTGGTAGTCATTCTGGAGAAGTGACTGATTTATCAATGTGCCAGTGGATGACCACCCGTTTGGTTTCTGCTTCTGTGGATGGCACGGTTTGTCTTTTTCCTGATATTCTTGCTTTTATTGTTCCCAAACTTGTTTGTGCAAACTTACATTCATAGTCTTTAAAGCTGCTTTTGTTAGACCTTTTTGAAATAGTCACTTATATGGACAGATAGAAGTTATTTTGTCTCACCTTATAATGGAAGCCACAAATCATTGAGTTCTATATGGTCTAGTTGGTGAATTTTTTTTTTGTTATATGTGCAGTGGTGGTTTAGGATTTATTGAACTTGTCATATTTTGTAAATTTTTCATTTTGGGGAAAAGGGGGTAGGAATTTAGTGGAGGTAGTTCTCATATAGGGTTTTGAGTGTAGAAGATGAAAGAGTTTGGTTATCTCAATATGGATATAATGTCAGATGGATGTACAGCATACATGTGTGACTCTATGATATAGAGTGGCTGGCGAAATCAAGGTTTTAATCATCTAAAGTGAAAACAAGCAATCATAGAGAGTGTGTAAGTTACAACACATAGTGAGTGCATAGAAGTTGCTGAAGCTAGATTCAATTTAAGATGTTTGCAGGGTTTTCTTTTTTGAGTTACTTCATGATTGCTTCTAGAATTGGTCGAGTCTTACATTCTACTTCTCGCAGCTGCATGTTTTTGTGTTTTTTTTAAGAAATATTATTTCATTGTAATTAGAATATAGTTACAAAAAGGGTGGGAATTTTCGACATGCCACACTACAACATGAAATTAGCGGATTAGAATTGATCATTTTTCGATACGAACACGAAACTGACACGATCTGCTAAAGGCGAACAATAAATGGGTTGAGCTAGTGTAAAAAATGAATAACCCAAAATTGACAAGTTTAGATATTGTATGCATAAAATACCAATTTTTTGTCATTTTTAGCAAGTAATTTTCATGAATCCTTGTAAAATACAAGGACTTTTTGACGTGTTTTTGCTCTTATAAATTTAGTGGAGTTTTAGTTTATGGAAAAACTATAAGCGTGGGTTTGGTAGAGTGATAATAGAGTCTTAATTTTAGATTTTTTATTTATGGGTTATATGGGTCAACTGGATCATGACAATAATAAACTGGTTGGGTTAGTGTTAGGTTATCTGGCACAATTAATTAAATGGGTTTTGAGTTAGGATTGACTAGTGCTCAACACGAACCCATACTAAAATGACCCAAACATGAATTGACTGGACATTTCACCCCTAAATACACCTTACTGTCACCAAATTTATGGTTTTATCATCTAGCTATGAAGCACGGATGCTTCGATCCGGGTGATGTATCCGCATCTGTATTCGATAAATATCATATACTAATATTCATTGGATACTTGCAGATACATATGAGATATTATCAACATTATTGGGTAATTAATAAAATATTTATCATTGTTGGATACTTGTTGGATTCACCTTGGATACACATATTTCTACAGTGAATACATTCACCTTATACTTAGTGAGGTGGATTGTGTAGAAACCATGAATCATTCAAATGAGGATTACTTGTTGCAAGATGTTTATTTGGACATGCATCACATATGTCACAAGATTTGTGAATTGTTTACAATTTGTTTGGCCTAAATAAAAATTGTGATGGTCTATGTCAAATGCAATGAAGTCTATTGCAATTAAATGTCGAGTAAAAGTTGAGAACTATCCAAGGATGACACATATTCTGCATTGGAATTATATAGAACATTTGATTCTATGTATATCTTGCTTTAGTTTGGATGTGTTTTATCTTTCAATCCCTCATATTTCTAGTATTGTAATAACATTCTATAATATACATACATGCGTATCCTAGATGTATTCGTATCCTACTTTTTATGATTTTTTCGTATTGTCATATCCAATTCGTGCCGTACCCGTATCCCGTATTCGTATCTATGATTCCTAATCACCTAGCATACATGTACTACTGTTATCTCATAATAAAACAGGGATTCTCTCCAAGTTTTACCATATGAGATGAAAGATACCTTATTTTGACAGGCTGTATGTATGCTTTGTTATGTAACAGATGCCCTTTCACTTTCCATTATGCATACATTTGCATGCTATTTGGTAAATACTTTCTTTTTGAACCTTTTTACTAACTTATGCGTGTGTGTCTTTTCCAACAGATAAAGCTATGGGAAGACCGAAAGATTCTACCTATTGCCGTACTGAGGCCACATGATGGTGAACCTGTTAATTCGGTTACATTTTTTACTGCCCCTCTCCGGCCAGATCACATCGTACTTATCACCGGGGTACTTTCTATTGGAAAAGATATATAATTTCTTTTGGTATTTTCAGATAGTATATCTGTAATCATGCTAGTTTGGCTTGGTTGTTTGATTTCTGTCACTGGATAATAGCCTAGCATTGCTAAATTTTTTTTTTGTTGTGATACTGGCATGATGGGATTATTTGGGTGCCTGCATATTTGCTTCTAGGTTTATCAAGTTCATAAAATTAAAATTCTTTTCCAATACGCATTCTTAATGCTTATTTTTTTCATTAGTTATGTTCATTTGGTTTAACTGTTGATAGCTGTTTGCAGGGTCCACTGAATCGGGAAGTAAAGATCTGGGCATCGGCAAGTGAAGAAGGCTGGTTGCTTCCTAGTGATGCCGAATCATGGCAGTGTACCCAGACACTGGAATTGACGAGCACAGCAGAAGTTCGAGTTGGAGAGGCATTCTTTAATCAAGTTACGCCCTTGTCTCAAGCAGGTCTGCTCTTACTAGCAAATGCCAAGAAGAATGCCATATATGCAGTACACTTAGAATATGGTCCTCACCCAGCTGCAACCCGCATGGATTACATAGCAGAGTTTACTGTCACTATGCCAATATTGAGTTTTACTGGGACAAGTGATCTATTAGTCAATGGTGAACAAATTGTTCAGATTTATTGTGTCCAGACACAGGCTATTCAACAGTATGCTTTGGACTTATCCCAGTGCTTGCCACCCCCATTGGAGAACCTGATTTTGGAGAAGTCGGAGTCAATTGTTAAATTTAATGCCCCTACTCCCCAAGAATTCTCTACTTTGGAGCCATCTGGAAGCAAACCAAATGAGATACCTTTAGCTAGTTCAGCACCTAAACTCTCTGTACATGAAAGTAGCTCAGAGAGTGCTCCTACAGTGATACATATTATGAACTCTGCTGCTCTTGAAACATCCACTTCACAAGAATTTGCTATGGAGTCTAAACCCACTTCTTTGCCAATGATAATCAATGATACTAATAATGCTAATACCACCTCACCTCTCCCTTCGAGTCCAAGGTTGTCTAGAAAACTCTCTGGGTTTAGAAGTCCATCAAACACCTTTGAGCCAGGTTCCCCACTCAGTGATCGTGGTGGAGATCATAAAATTATCGAGCATTCAGCTGATAGGCCAATTGATAATGTTCAAACAAATGTGTCTGATGTCCTTTCCTTGAATGATGATTTAAGGAGTGATGGAAATAAGTTTGCAAAAGATGAAATGTCTACTGATATTAATCATCCAGTCAAGTTCATGCACCCCACTCATTTGGTAACTCCTTCTGAAATATTGATGTCGAATTCATCCTCTGAAAGGAATCATGTTGTTCAGCACATGATTGAGGAAGACCCAAATATTCAGGATTTGACTATTAACAATCCCTCACAGAATTCTGAGGTGGAAGTCAAGGTCGTTGATGAAACAGGATTTAGCCAAAATAACGAAATTGGTTCTCAAGGAGGACTTCATGGTCTTGTTTCAGAAAATAAGGAGAAATCCTTTTGCTCTCAGGCTTCAGATCTCGGCATTGAGATGGCTAGGGATTGCCATGCCTTGCCAGCTGAAACTTATGTTACAAAGGAATCTAGGCAACTTGATGGGGATAGAAGAAGTGATGCAGTGGACCAATCTTTAGGTACCGAGAATGATGTCCCTGACTCTGCAAAGGATGCATCTGGACAGGTTATAGGTTCAGCAACGCCTGCAACAGTTGCACAACCACCAGCCCCAGTAACAAAAGGGAAAAAACAGAAGGGGAAGAATACTCAAGGATCAGGTCCATCTTCGCCATCGCCTAGTGTTTTCAATTCGACAGATTCTTCCAATGATGCAGGTGTTAGTTCTAGTATCCCCTCTGTGGAAGCTGCTTTTGCCCAAATTCTATCTATGCAGGAGACACTTAATCAGGTGATTCCTTTGAGTTTAGCATGCAACACTTCCCTCATGCTTCAGTTGTAGTTGATTGTGTAATTGTTTGCAAGGTCCATAGTTGACTAAAGAGATCGACTTGGTGAGACTTTGTGCTTGGTTTTTTCAAATTGTTATCGACCCATCTAGTTATTTTTGTGTTATTCGTAATCTTCCTGCAGTAGACATGTTATTTTATTCATTTTTTTTTCATCATTTTTGAAACTTTTTGTTGGCATACAACTAATTCATTTGCTTAGTTGGTGATAGGTTTATCATTCTTGTATTTTTTTGCTGGGCCTGTGTAATTTTCTGTTAGGGAGAAGTTCTGATTTCCTGTTGTTAGTAGTTAGTACCTCTTTTCAGCATCATGCTATAGTCATGTGGTTCTGACCCTTCATTAGTTTCTGGCCTTATCGTTCACGGATTGAAAATAATGGAACATCTCCTTTGGTTCCTTGCATATTCATCTGTGCTTGTTGTTGATATAATGGAGTGTTGCCATATTATTCTGTGTCTTACAGTGGCAATCTATTAACATGTCAGCGAATAAAACTAGGTTTTAACTTTGTGTAGTATTTGCTATTATCATGTTATGTTTATCAGAATGTACCATGCACATTAACATTTGTTTGTATAGTTACCCATCTCTTTACAAGTTTTGCTACTTATTGCAGCTTGTGACCATACAAAAAGAAATGCAGAAGCAGATGACAATGACGGTTGCCGCCCCAGTTACCAAAGAAGGCAGAAGACTTGAGGCAGCTCTAGGCCGTAGCATGGAGAAAGCTGTCAAGGCTAATGCTGATGCTCTATGGGCTCGTTTCCAAGAAGACAGTGTAAAACAGGAGAAGTTAGCACGGGACCGCACGCAGCAAATAACAAATTTGATTACTAGCTGCCTGAACAAGGATTTGCCAGCAATGTTGGAGAAAACTATGAAGAAGGAATTCGCTTCTGTTGGACCAGCTGTGGCACGCACGATTGCACCAACTATTGAGAAAACAATATCTACAGCTATTGCAGACGCTTTCCAGGTTAGCATTGTGAAGATGCGAGTCCTGCTAGAATGTAACCATATTGGGATCTAATTCATGCTATTTGATGCAGAGAGGAGTTGGCGATAAGACAGTCAATCTACTGGAGAAATCGGTTAATACTAAACTTGAAGCTACTGTTGCAAGACAAATTCAAACACAATTTCAAACTTCTGGCAAGCAAGCTCTTCAGGTATGCGTAAGGTCACAATGAAAATGTAACTAAAGCTATACCGGTTTCTAGTGAGATGATAATTATAATTGCTTGGGTCATGTTTGTTGAGGTTTTTCCTGATCAAGAGTTGATGGATTTTAAGGTGTCCTGTTAAGATTTGAAGTGCTTCTATTGATGTGTAGTGCCTCCTTTATTACTCAGATATAGTGAGTTTTGTAAATGCTTTTACTTGTTTTTTCTGTTCTTTTATTTCCATATATTTGCTACTTTTTGGGTGGAGCCCTTACTGTTTTGTCCAATACACAGTTATTGGTTTTTTGTCTATGTTTCCCCAAGCTTTAATTTTGTGTGTCTGTTACACTTTCTTTAACATATTTATATGATGATTTGAAGACTTAAGGAGCCTCTCTGCGTGTGTTGTGAGTGTGGAGACTTTGACATGACCTGACATGATTTTCTACATGAATATGAAAACTTCTTAATCTAATAGAATGGGCCATCAAATCTGTCATGCAGGAAGCATTGAAATCTAGTTTGGAATCTTCGGTTATCCCTGCCTTTGAGATGTCATGCAATGCTTTGTTTGAACAAGTTGATGCCACATTTCAGAAAGGGATGGTTGAACATACAAGTGTGGCTCAGCAGCAATTTGACTCCACGCATTCATCATTGGCACTAGCTTTAAGAGTATGGAGTCCTAACCACTGATAGTCCTGTTTTTACCTGATTCATGTTGAAGATCTGTTGGTTGTTATTGTCTGCCTGCCTGTCTTTTTCCTGCTTTCTTGGCTTATTATATGCTATCCATATGACTTCCAACATCCAATGTCGAAATGATGTATGCAGGATGCCCTCAATTCAGCATCATCAATGACCCAATCTCTTAGTGGTGAATTGGCTGATGGTCAAAGAAAGTTGTTAGCTCTTGCTGTTGCTGGGGCAAATTCAAAAGCAGTTAACCCTTTGGTTAGCCAGCTGAGTAATGGATCTTTGGGTGGTCTTCAGGATAAGGTTTCTCCCATTTATCCTTACTTGTAGGGTTTCTGCAAGGAAGCTATAGCCTTTAATTTTTTTACTTTTGTTTCCTCCTTTGGAGAGAGACGGGGGGGGGGGGGGGGGGGGATAAATAGCTTATAAAATTATAAAGTTGGACCTCAGCTGTAAAATGCTTTTTGTACCCACAGCCCCATTCTGACTCAAGTGTTTACTGTTTATAGATTGAGGCACCTTTGGATCCAACAAGGGAGCTATCTAGATTGATATCCGAATGCAAATATGACGAGGCTTTCACTGCTGCTTTGCATAGAAGTGATGTTTCCATTGTATCCTGGTTGTGCTCTCAGGTATGCATTGTGTGCAGCGTTTTAATTTGCATAGCCACGATAAGGATTGAGCCTCCGGTGGCAAGACCAGCTTACAAAGGAACTTTTCCTTCCCACAACCAAAAAAATTAAACAAAAAACTTAAAAAATAAAATAAAATCACGAAGAAGAAGAAGAGATGCCACCAAAATTTAAAGTAAACAGAGAGAGCAGGAACAAAAGCAATACTACAGCACTGCCTTGTGTGGTGTGAGCTATACCGATTTGGGGCTGGGGACTGTTTGCTGCTATACATTTCTTGTGTAATAATATGATAAAGGAAGTTATTCATTGGAAAAGTAAGGGACAACCATATGCTCCCTTAACAAATATTTGTGAATGCATGCAATTTTACCTTCCCAAGGAAGCAATGTTTGCATAAATGAAAGGCTTGAGCTTATTCCTGTATGGTGATCTTATGTTGTCAAGTCTTTAACTTCAGCTGATGGTTTGGACTTGAAATCAGGGTCTTAAATCCAGGACGACTTAATCTTGGACTTCAAGATATGGTGGACTCCAATTAAAATCCAAAAATTAGCTTTTGTGCAATTTGATTGGAATTCGGAGCTACATTTTCCTACAATCATGTTTTTTCTCTGGTTTAGAAGTACATTAAATAATTTCCAGTTTTCCACTCATTTCATCCCAAAGTTATTCCGTTGTAAGGCTTGAGTTTTACTATTTGAATGAGTATCTCTTTTTCCGATGAAAAAAGATATAACCTTCTGCCACTTTATGCTGAAATTTTTTGATGAACTTCCTAGTTTTGTATGCAGCTGACTTGATTATGCATGTGTTTTATTCCCTGCTACTGTTTTCTACCAGGTTGATTTACAGAGGATCTTGTCGACGAATCCTCTACCATTAAGCCAAGGCGTACTACTTTCACTTCTGCAGCAGCTGTCTTGTGACATCAGCAAAGATACACCCCGAAAACTGTCCTGGATGAGGGACACGGTAGTTGCCATAAACCCATCTGATCCAATTGTTGCAATGCACGTGCGACCCATCTTTGAGCAAGTTTATCAGATACTAAACCATCATCTTAGCCTTCCCACTGCGACGAGTGGTGAGGTGTCAAGTGCCCGCGTTGTCATTCACATCATCAACTCCATGCTGATGGCTTGTAAATGATTCCTTTACCGATTGATGAGTCATATGGAGTGGTGGGGAACTCGGAAGGTTTGTACAAAGCTGTAGTAATTGTTGAGTGGGTACTAGTAAATGTGCAGAGACAGTACTTTCTTCTTAAATATCTGAATTCTCTATCTTTTTCTTCATTTTTGGTGGAAGTTGAAGTCTGTGAAATATCTGAATTCTCTTTTATCTTTTTCTTCATTTTTGGTGGAAGTTGAAGTCTGAAATAGTTGGGTTGTGAGTTTTAATATATTTTTCATTCCAAGTTTTTGGTTGATAAGAAGTTTTTGTATTCGTGCACCTTAAAAAGCCATCGTTTTCTTGATCCTTCATTCATGTCCAGTGCGACATTCATTTGCTTAATTGTATTGCGTTTTTAATTGCTAAAGTTGGTTATCTTTTTTTTTTTTTGACTGGTTAGAAAGGGGGAGTGGCAATTAGTAAGTAGTAACTTCTCTTAGACAGACGTGATTACAAGGATTTCTCACTGTGAAGTGTGGTTTGAAATTATACCTATTAACTTGGAAAAGCACAACTAAAATCAAAGAGTAAATGGAGACGGGACAATTATAAATGGATACTATTTACTCTTAGACCAATGATATTGCTAAAGCTGGTAAATAATACTATTAACAGTAATAATAAGGAGTGGTGTTAGTTCCTCTTGGGTTGGATTAATGGTATTGCATTTTTCTATTAAGGAAGATAACACAATTTTTTACTACTTATCCGACGTCAACAACAGATGTGATATTATTACTTTAAATTTTATAGTACGTTCAGTCGAACCGATTATTACTTGTCGAATGGCATTCATGACATGACGTATACAGCCCAGTTTTTATCCAATTATTTATTAAATTAATAATATCTATTACATATTTAATAACTTTGAAGGGATTTCATATCCCACATCCTCCAGAAATTTTTGGATAAAAAAAAAAACACAATGAATGTCAAAAATAAAGAAAAGATATATATATATATATTTACTCTTTCCTGAGGGGGAAAAAAGGAAGTCAAAAAAAAAAAAAATCGTCGGGAAATTTACACGAGTTCTCTTCCGTTCATTGCCCCGTGAAATATATAATGTGTACACGTGTCGTATCCATCCTACCAACACTGATCCGTCTCCCACCTCCGGGTCGAGTAATACCCAAACCCATATGAGTGACCAAAAGATCGCACCCCCGAACCAGAACCAATACTCAACGTCAGATCGTAAATCGCCCTGGTGGACGGATCAGACAGCGTAGCGTAAGCGTTATGGATCTCTATGAACTCACGCCCGTCCGATTCCAACGATTGCGAAAAGGCGTCCGGGTGGTACAGCTTGGCCAAGCTCCTATAAGCCGTTTTGATCTCCGTAGGCGACGCATTTCGCTTCACTTTCAGCACTTCGTAGAGGTTTGATTGATGTCTCCTAGTCGCCACCTCCGATGCCGCCTCGGTGACGGCCGCTAGAATTGCTGATTTAGCAGGATTTCGTCCGGCGAACGACATTTTCCGGTCAGATCCTGCAACTGCGGCGAACGATAAGCTATTTTCCGTGGAAAATAGAAGGCATGTTGCAGAAGGAAGGGATAGGGTTCCGATCATTGAATTAGGGTTCTCGAAATGAGAGTATAGATTGATTACGGTTTGGAAAATGAGACCCGCTGGATTATATAAAGGAGGTGGTGTTCTTTTAGAAATATGAAAATAGTGGGGTCCATTATTGCTTTTTTAGCAGTTTCTCACTTACTCACGGTTTTTGAGGCAGGAAACCTGGGGCTGACATGGCACCTAGACATCGTTTGTTTCTAGAAGAACTGTTCCTTTCCGGCTTTAGCCGAGCCTTCAATTGTCAGCTGCAGCTTGCACAGGATAAGACTGGTGTGGTGTTGTTGCTGCTTGAGAAGTCTTGGCTTGAAATCGGCTTCAACAGCCCAGCCGGACACCTCAGCTACTAGAAGCCTAGAACTCAGGTATGGCAAGTCAATTCCCATAGTACCATTCTTTTTCTGACTATTTTCGTGAATTTTTAGTTTTTCCATGTTGTTATTTATAAAAATTATTAAATTCACACATTTCAATATAAATTAATAAAAATATTAATTTTATAAAAAGAGAAATAAATTTCAGAAAAATGTTATTTTTATAAAAAAATTCTAAGTAAAATAATTAAGAAAAAAATTAATTAAAGTACGTGTAAATTGACTTAGACATCTTTAATCATTGAAAAAAAAAAAACAACAATCACCGGTAGGATAAAGCTTGCGTGTGGAGACAAAGAAAAGCAATTGAAAAGGCTTCTGGAAGCCTGTTTAGGAGTAGAGTTGAAGTAAGGGACCGCCCAATCAATCAAACAACATAATTGATAATTTAATCCTATTTTTTTTGTAGCAAGCACTAATAAGGTCGCTCCACTGATAGGGGATTGAAAGTAATGCTCTACCATTAACTCATTATTTTAATGAATCCATGAAAAAGTGGAAAATGAAGGGTATATTCGTATTGATATTGATATTGATATTGATTGAATCAAAATGGAAGAAAAACAGATGATTGGTTGGCATTATTTTTTATATTATAATTTCTTTTTGGTCAAAGGTGTTACAATGTAGTTCAAATAATAAATCTAGACATCATGAATTTGAATCTTAACAACCCTTGAGACATGATCATAAAAGATTTATATCTCATGAATATCTTAGTTTCGACATAGATGATAAAATTTGACTTTAACTAGATTAAAGAAAAAATTAATCGAGATACACGTGGACTTGTTTTGCCATCATTTTTTGTGATAACATCTATCTAGAACCGATGTCGTGTGTTTGGCGAACAAATGTGTAATTTAACTGAGTGATACTACTTGGACCACATTAAGCGGCGTTTGGGTTATATGTGGACTCAACCCAACAACATCTTTGGACCAAATTAACGAGCATCACTGGCCATAGTTTTGTTGATGAACAATCAATCCCCTTTGAATGGGCAAATATGCTGTTGGGTTGAGAGGTGTATTCGTTGGTTCAGAATCTTTGAATCTGAAATGCTTAGTGGGCCGGCCGTATTTGGATTACAGATAGTTGAAACTAAAGTTTCCGACAGATGATTGAAGCCCAAGTTGAAAAATATTCTACGAGCGTCCTCCCATGAAAGTGTTTTAGGATTTATGTTGATGAGTGAGAGAGACTATTTTGAACTCTAATGACGCATTGACACAATACAACAGGTTAGATTTAACTAGGTATTAATACAAATTTAAAATGAAACGATTGCTAATATGAATAATAAATGCTTGACTCAATATCAAACACAAATAACCAAAACTTAACATGTATAATAAATATGAGAATTTTTTATGAAAGATTATATATATAGTATAGATTTTGAAGAGAATTTTTAATTCTATTATATGGATTTGATGGAATTCTAGTTTAGGTGAAAACCATGGGTGGTGGATTTAGTTGAGAGATACTAATATTCTTAGCTTTGGTTCTTATTAGTGATTATATAGGTTAATTTGACACAACACAGGTGTAGATGAGGAGGGGACAACGAGGACCATAAAATTTAACGGGGGAGTGATGACCATTAAGGCTAATGGTACATTTATGCACTGTTTCATGCGATAAAAAAATAAAAAAGATGAAAAGTTAGAGAAATAGATAAAAAATTATATTCGGTATAGAAGGAAAATAAAAACGATGAAAAAATTGATGAATTAATTTTTTTTCTAATTCACCAAAATTAAAAGGAAAGTGGATGAAAAATTAATTATTTATGTTAAAATATATATTATTTATCTAAGTATCATTTGATATATATTATATATTTTTAAAAAATTAAAATAAAAAAAAAATTTCATCTTACCAAACACAGAAAAAAATAATTATTATTATTATTTTTATTTTTCATCAATCTTATTAAACATAAAAAAAAATATATATATTATAATATTATTTTTATTTTTCTTATTTAACGGATAAAAAATATATCCATACTACTTTTTCATAATTTTTTGTTCAACCGAGCATTAAGCACGCCTATTTATAAGGGAGAATTGGCATTATTGGAGCTAGCTAAGGTCAGTAGTAAGTCCAAAAGTCACCAGATTCAGAAGGTAGCTCACATGTGATGGTGTATGTGTCCAATCGGAAAGGACAAGATTAGGTGCAGGGCCACGTTTGGTAAACTAATTGTGTTCACGGGGGGGGGGGGGGGGGGGGGGAGATCTACCAAGGCAGAGTTTGGGGCAAACAGACGATGTGTTTTTGGCTTTGTAGGTACACAAAGTTGGACTATGTAGTTTGGTGGAGAATCACATCATGTTATTTCTGTCACAAAAATAAAGTAATTAGCATGTGGGTGGGTTCTCTTGTGTTGTGTTCTTCGATGCAGTATACCCGTCCTACTGGAGTAAATATTAGAGACATGTTTGGTACGTGGGTTTGGGGGAAGGGGGGATTTGGATCTTGGATTGGGATTAAACTATCTTAAATTTATATTTGACAACTATGTATTTAATTTAGGATTTGAAACTTGATTCGGTTATGAAACCACATGCTTGAGTTTCATGAAATCCAAGGGATAGGAGGGGGGTTTCGTATGTATACGGGTTAATGAGTTTAATATACAAATAATATTTATATCTCATATATTTTATATACTCCATATATATAAATTGATTAAGGAGCACAATAATTATTTATATATAAATATATTATCATAATATTCATATATTCCTGCGCATATCAAACATGAGTATGAATAACATTGAATATTAAATTCCATCTTTGAGTCAAATTCAGGTTTGGACAAACCAATTCAAACCCTTCCCAAAAAACATACCAAATAGGGCCTAGGAGTAATAACGGCACCATTTAATAACAAATTTGGAAGTAGAACTGATAATCGAACTGAGTTACTTGAGTTTGGTTTGTTTTAGACTCTAATTAAAAAAAACAAGCTTAAAAGTTTGGCTCGAACTCGATTCCTTTATGCATGGTTGTTATTTCTTGACATAGATACGATGGTTACTAAATTAAATGAGGTCTATTTGTTTATATATTGATTTATTAGTTATTGTATGTGTTTGAAGGCACAGAGTAATAAGAAATGATAAATAATAAACATATTTGTATTCATATTCAAAATCAAATCACAAACATAGAGAAGAGATAAATAAATTTAAACATTGATTTGTAATGGGGGTGAGAGGTGGTAGACGACAATGGTGGTGGTAGGAGACGGTGATGGTTATGATAGATGACAATGATCGTGATGGCGGTGGCGGCAGCGGCAGCGGCAATGACAGTGGAAGTGGAAATGGTGGCGACGGTGGGGATGGCGGTGGGACAGTTTCGAACACTATTTTTTTTTAAGTATTTATGAGAAATAATTTCTAAAAATATTTGTAAAAGTCACTCAAAACACACTCTTAGGAGTCTATTTTTTATATTAAATTTATGGTGTTAATATTAACCGTTAGATTAACTTTAAAGTAATATTTAAAACGATATCAATTGCGAATAACAAAAATTATTTTATTTATTTTTTAAATTTGAATTGTAATCTGTTTTATTATATAAATTATTAAATTGGTCATACTATATAATAATACTAATATTGTATCACGGCGGTGAGAGAATAAATGGGGTTTCTGGTGTATTGCACACTAGTTTTGCAGTATAAAAGAAAAATTGCAAACTAGCAAAAATTAGCCATGCTGTATTTTATTTATGTAACCTTAGTAAATGACAGTGTTCAGAAACCGTCCATGAAGCAAGCAAACAATCGGTTTCCACATTGATTGTCTGTCGAGTGATAGGTAGAAAAAGATCAAATACTGATTTGTGGTCGGAGGAAAAAGCGTTACCCATCTACCTCCACTCTTTAAAAACATTGGGAAAGAATGCTGGGTAGCTCGAAAGTGAGGGATATTCAAATGCTAGGTACGATGTGAGCTGTTTCTTTTGTCCTCGTCAAGGCCCATCCTGATTGATGTGGCGACACGCATGCTTGTAATGCTGACTCACTCACACGTCGTCTCCTGCACTAATCCAACTAAGCCTTTATCATGGGCAGTTCAAAAAACCTTGTTTCCCGTAACCCGTAATTAGGTCTCTTAATGGTTCGAATGAAATGAGTTTATGTTTAAAAATATTTTGTATATACTTAAACGAATTGTATCGATTTTTTTTTTTATTAATTTCACTTGTACTTATTTTATTTATTACTATAGTGCTTCATGAGAGCATGTACAATTATTTACCTTTGAATCAGAACTGTCAAACATTACGATCACATTAAGTTATTGCAGCCTGATTATTTAAGGACCACATGCAATCAGAAAGTTTGTTGGTGATTTGATATCGGCCTTTTTGCCGTCAAATTAACTTTTACATTTTCTAGCGTTAGGCGGTGACCAGGTACATTGCATTATGTATGGCGTCGATTCAGACTACACAATCTAATTTTTATTTTATTTTTATATCGTATAAAAAATAATACAAATAATAATTTTTATTATGAATCAATTTAATAGAATAATCATTTAAGTAAAATTATTTAATATCAAGGTTACCAAAAGTTACCAAAACAACGTTAAACATCTCTAGTTCCTTGTATATGGTCAGTCGGCCGCCATAAATAAGAATATTTTGTTTGAGACGATCAAGGCAGGCTTGGCCAGGTTCTCACGGAGTCCGACGTAACTCCAACACCATACAGCACATGCGGCCGCCACTCCGATAACGGTGATAATTGAGTCTAATTATTTAAATTTGATTTAAATAATAATTAATTCACGTTTAATTCTTGTTTTAAACGAATTAAATTTATATAATTTTATTTAAAAAGCGAATAATTTTCAATTTATTTCTATATAAAATAGACAAAATTATAAATATTAAAGTCGAACTTATTTTTTTGTTAAACAAGTTTAAATATGAATGATTTTTAAGACTCGCGAAAAAATTTGGCTCGATTCAACGACGATGACACACTGCCCAACAACGTTCCTTTACTATAAATACCCACCCTCACATTTTTTGGGACCTGAGAATTCTTCTCTGGGTTTTCTTGTACTCTTAGTGTTGTTGTTTCTCTGGTCTGATCTTCAAATAATCACCTGAGAAATGACGATCGGAGCTGGGATATCTGTCGGCGATGGGAAGCTCAACGTGTTGGGAAACTGCATTCTTACGGATGTTAAAGATAACATATATGTGACGCCGGCCTCCGGCGAGAACTTAACAAACGGCGCTTTCGTCGGCGTCCGGTCCGACCAGAATGGTAGCCGCAGGGTCTTCCCTGTTGGAAAACTCGAGTATGTTGCTCCTTATTATTATCATAGAGAGCTATTTTTCTTCTTTTAAATTTTGTGGGTCATCTTCTGCGGTGTTAATGATTTATTCTAGTTTTGATTCTTCGTTAAGAATCATGACATGCAAAAGGGACCATGAGCTTCAAATGGGTTTGACTCTTCGGGGAAAAAAATTAGAACTTCGAAATGTGGTCTTGGGTTGTTAATGGGTTTATGTTTTTTCAGCTTCTAGTGATTATTTCCAACAACATTTTTTTGGTTCAATATTCTGGACTTGCACCTCCACTAATTTCTTCCTTGGTCGATACCTATGTCACAGCTAGTGTATTAACAAAGGATAAATTCCTCGTAATCTTGTGACGAGGGATTATCAAGATTCGAAATCAGGACGACAGTTTATAGTTCGTCCCATTATTTCCAACTATAATGCGGGTTGAGTCTGTAGTTTGAGACACTTTCAAATTTTAAATGAGTTGGGGTTGGATCTTTAAATGAAAGTTGATATGGGTTTGATATTTGGTGTTGATTTGCAGGGGATTCCGGTTCATGTGTGTTTTCCGGTTCAAGTTGTGGTGGATGACACAGAGGATGGGCAATTGTGGCCAAGATATACCCTTCGAGACCCAATTTTTAATGGTGGAAGGAAAAGATGATTCACATTTTGCTGAAGATGGTGTGGACCAGTCTGCATTGTATATAGTTTTCTTGCCTATTCTTGAGGGGGATTTTAGGGCTGTTCTTCAGGGGAATGCCAATAATGAGTTGGAGATCTGTTTGGAAAGTGGTATATGAATACAATCATTTTTTTCATTAAAAAAAAAGTGATTATTTTTGTTTTGTTTCTTTTGGTAAATCCTTAAGAATGCTAAAAAAAATGATGGTTGATTGCAGGGGATCCTGATGTACAAGACTTTGAAGGAAGTCATTTAGTTTTTGTGGCTACTGGATCAGACCCATTTGATGTAATCACAAATGCAGTGAAGTAAGTTCAAGAATGCCTAAACCCCCTTAGCTTCTTTTTGTTTAGTTTCAGTTTCATATCAAATGGGATTAATTTTCCTTTCTCCCTCATTAGACCCCCCATAGAAAATCTCAATTGAGCCTATTCAGCTTCTCTGTTACGGGTTTTGGCCAATTTCTGAAAAAAAGTAAATCGTTGGATCTTAACTTTGTGCACGTTTATGGTACAGGACTGTTGAGGGACATTTGCAGACGTTTTGCCACCGTGATAGAAAGAAGGTACAAAAAATCTTGCGCTACAACTGTGTTTGAATAAGACTATGTTACCCTATCAAAAAAAAAAAAATGGCTATGTTACCCAAAAAAAAAAAACATTTTTGGTACCATACCAAAATTGATTAGGAAACCTATATCTTGGTACCTTTAGTAAGAGTTATGTTATGATCTCCTTGAGTTTAAATGACTGTGTTCTTCCTCATGGCCCAGATGCCAGAAATGTTGAACTGGTTTGGCTGGTGTACGTGGGATGCTTTCTATACAGATGTAACTGCTGAGGGGGTGAAACAAGGATTAGAAAGGTAAAAACCTACCATACGTATATTGCTTAACAGTGTTAAAATTGCATGATTGTAATAATGTAGAATGGTACTAACTAGTAGTGTTTTTGTGCCAGTTTTGAGAAAGGTGGGATTCCTCCTAAATTTGTTATAATCGACGATGGATGGCAATCAGTTGGTATGGATCCCGCTGGTGCTGAAGCTAAAGCTGATAACACAGCCAAGTGAGTACAAGAATCAGTAACCTCTTTGGTATGTTTGGTGATCATCTCAATTTATTGGCTAACCTACATAGTTGACTTTTTGTATCTTTTCAGCTTTGCAAACAGGCTAACTCATATCAAAGAGAACCACAAATTCCAGAAAGATGGCAAAGATGGTTTCAGGGTGGAGGATCCAGCAATGGGTCTTCGCCACATTGTTACCGAAGCCAAAGAACAACATGCTCTGAAGTGAGTTTTGCTAATTCTCTTCAAAAACTGTTATGTTCCAACAATTCTTGATTAAGCACTCACACTATCATCTACTGTCCCCCGAATCTGCAGGTATGTTTATGTCTGGCATGCGATAACCGGATACTGGGGCGGTGTCAGGCCGGATGTTGCTGAAATGGAACACTATGAATCCAAGTTGGCTTATCCCATTTCATCTCTAGGGGTCCAGTCAAATGAACCTTGTGATGCTTTGAACAGCATTACCAAGAATGGGCTTGGCCTTGTGAACCCTGAGAAAGTTTTTAACTTCTATAATGAATTGCATTCATACCTTGCTTCTGCTGGTATCGATGGTGTCAAGGTCGATGTTCAGAACATCCTTGAAACTCTTGGGGCAGGCCATGGTGGAAGAGTGAAACTTGCAAGGAAGTACCATCAGGCATTAGAAGCATCAATTTCTCGCAATTTTCCGGATAATGGAATAATTTCTTGTATGAGTCACAACACAGATGGTTTGTACAGGTAACTAATTTTTCTCAGCATATCTTGTTTTGTTAGCTTGGTGACTATAGATGTAGATGACCATTTAGTAATAATGTGACTGTCTCATAATCAAAACAATTTTTTGAAACTTTATATGACAAAAGTTAATTGATTTTCAATTAATTGGTGTAGTGCAAAGAGATCAGCTGTTATTAGAGCATCAGATGATTTTTGGCCCAGAGATCCAGCATCACACACCATTCATATTGCATCAGTGGCTTATAACACCATTTTCCTCGGGGAGTTCATGCAGCCTGACTGGGACATGTTTCATGTAAGCTCATGAAGCCATTTCATTTCTTGTTTAAATCTCTCTTTTTATTCCTTTACTGTCAGATTATTGGATGCTAACTGCGAAGTTATATGGCAGAGCTTACACCCAATGGCTGAATACCATGGAGCAGCTCGTGCCGTGGGAGGCTGTGCTATATATGTCAGGTGTGGTTAACATTCATCACGTGTTGGTGTATGAAAAAATTCGATTGAACATTTGGGTTTCTCTTTTTGTTACTGAAATATTACATGCAGTGACAAACCTGGGCAGCATGATTTTAATCTACTGAAGAAGCTTGTACTTCCTGACGGTTCCATATTGAGGGCCAAACTCCCAGGAAGACCAACAAGGGATTGCTTGTTTTCTGATCCTGCTAGAGATGGAAAAAGGTTCGATAAGAAAATTTTTGTGGACTGTGGATTCTGAACCTGTTCATTTGCTATTCCTGAGTCGATGTTTTACCTTGTCTACTCGTGATAATCTTTATCACAGCCTTCTAAAGATTTGGAATCTGAACGATTTCAATGGGGTCGTGGGGGTGTTCAACTGCCAAGGTGCTGGGTGGTGTAGAGTTGGAAAGATGAACCTCATCCACGATGAACAACCTGGCACAACCACTTCAATTATCCAAGCTAAAGATGTTGATTATTTGCCCAAGGTTGCTGATGTCGGATGGAATGGGGATGCAATTCTGTACTCCCATCTTCGTGGTATGTTTGACAGTCCTAAAACTTTTGCATAATCCTTGATCTTGTTTATCAATCTGACAATTGATAAATGCCCAAATGATTGAAAAGCTGTCCAATATTTTTTGCTCCAGAATGCTTAAGTTACTACTAAAGAAACTCCAAATTCGTTCAATTTATTCTTTTTTTTGACGATTGTAGGAGATGTGGTTTATCTTCCAAAGAATGCATCTCTGCCACTTACACTGAAGGCACGAGAATTTGAAGTCTTTACAGTGGTACCCGTCAAAGAATTGTCCCATGGGGTTAAATTTGCTCCCATAGGTCTCATCAAGATGTTCAACTCAGGAGGAGCAATTAAGGAATTACAATATGAATCAAATGGAAGCCCAACTGTTGGCCTGAAAATACGCGGGTGTGGCATATTTGGGGCCTATTCATCAGTTGAACCGAAAAGAATAAGAGTTGACGAAGAGGAAATGGAGTTCAGATATGAGGAAGCCTCGGGATTCATCACCATTGCTCTGCGAGTTCCAGAGAAAGAATTATACCTTTGGCACATGACAATTGAACTATAAGAGATTTCAATCTTCTTCCCCTCCCCATTGGAGGGGCTCTACTATCTCTGTATTGAGTACCTCTTTCTATGGAGACGTGAAAGAGAACTTCTCTAGATTTTGAGGATGAATTCATGACATTGCAGTTATCTTATAATGCATAAAACTAAGTACGACTAGGAAGAGGATGAACCAGACAGCTCCCATTTGTAACAAAAATTTCTCTGTTTCATGATGGGAAAGGACATAAAGTGGGAGTGTCGTTTTAGATGTTGTATTGTATCCATTCATATCATAATGCAACTAAATAAAGAAAAAATGATCAGTTGATCTTGTAGATGAGTTTCATTTTGCTATCAGTTCTCTCACCTTGAACTACAATGTCAGTTCAAAATCTAATCAAAGTGTTCTTGAATACTCTGTTTTAAATAGTTAATTAATTGACAAAATTGGCTGTAGAATTGCAAAAAATAACTTCTTTGTACGTGAGAGACTACGCGCTTCTAACTTTTACTTGAATATAGTCTACTCTTAGAATAAAAATAGAAGAGAGACACTATGCAACTTTTACTTGAATATAGTCTACTCTCGGAGTAAAAATAGAAGAGAGACACTATGCCATTAGTAATGGTATGATTCGAGATTGTGTGGGAACGACTCAGAACGAACCTACTTTGTTCAAATGTGCATAAGGATTTTTTTTTTTTTTTTCAATGAACACATGTAAAGAGATATAAGTATATTTTGAATATATTTTATTCAACAGATACAGCTAGCGGTGGCAAAATGAAGAGAGATTATCAAGCTCAAGATCAGGCCCATATGTCGAGAGGTTTACAAGTGTATGGGTCAGAGACATTCATGGGCTGTCTTAGGCCCAAATATTCAGATGCTAAAATCAGATGGTCCTCATTTTAGGCCCATGTGGTTTGCCACTTAATGTGGTTGATGTCTTGATGATTTTACGAGTGCACGCGGCTCCGATGAGTGAACCGGCCGGTTCGTTCATAAACCCTCACCTGAGAGAAACTCAGACGCCTACCCAATAGGCTAAAACCTCTGAAATCTAGAGAGAGATAGAGAGGGCACCATGTCTGGGGGCAGAATTATTTCGCTTCTGAGGAGGAACAAAGCCCTCAATCACATATCACAATCGAGCCTGAAGAGATCATCGTCATCTAGGGTTTTGAATGATGAAGCTTCATCGCTAAACCCTTGTTACAGACTCTTTTCTTCTTCTTCTTCTTCTAAAGCTCAATTGGTTCCATTCCGCAGCATTGGTTCGTTAACCGCGAGAAGCTCTATCATTTCTGGATTTAGGTCTTTTGTCCATAATCAAAAGGTTCTAATTCACTTGTCTTTTTTCTTCTTAGTTCGTTTTACCACAATCTTTGTTTTTCTTAGATATTCAGAAATTTGACTTCCAATGTGTGTAGATATAACGTAAAACTTGTTTTTTGGTGTCTTGTTTGTTTGAATGTCGGGGCTCATCGTGTGCATTTTGTTAATTTTATTGTCAATGAAAGTGTTCAGATCTAACATGGTCTATTTGAGTTGTAAATAAGAGCATATAGGGGTCGGTGAGAGACCACTAGACCATGAACTCCCCTCAAATCCCAGTTTTATGACAATATAGATTGTGTAGGCTTATGCTTTTTGGAAAAATTAAAGTGCTGCACTCCGTTTTGTATATAATCAATTTGTGACTAATTTGTTGTAGTAAACTTCTATCGAAATGGTGTGAATTGCTGCTGAGTTTTTGGCATGACCAAACTTACTGTACAAGCTTGTCTGACTGCATATATTAGCGGGTTGAAATTTCACCAATAGTGGATGCTTACTTATTAGTTTGAGGAAATGTGCTTCATCATGGAGCTGGGCCTGATATTTCCTCTCATACCTAAGCCTGTGGGGGATTGGGATCATTAGTTTTGTTTATCAAATAAAAGCTAATACCAGTTTGCAGTCATTATTTCTGTCTTCCAGTGTGTTGTAAGTACTCTTGTTAGTGGGTGGCTTTTTAGGGATTTTATGATCGTGCTGTAATGTTGAGCACAAGATGTCTATGCTGTTTTCAGGGGTTTTATACAAAATATCTGAGGAATATGTCCACCACAGCATCTGCGTGTGCACAAGATAAGGAGGGATTGAAGCTTCTAGTGACTGCAGGGCCTCGTGCTCAAAAAATGGTTGGCATATGGCTTTTCACATCTGCTGCATGGGTGTTTAGTATGGTGGTACTTGGTGGTGTCACTCGGTTGACCCGATCTGGTCTTTCAATGACTGATTGGAAATTCACTGGTAGCCTTCCTCCTCTATCAGATGAGGACTGGTTGATTGAGTTTGAGAAATACAAACAATCCCCCGAGTACAAGCGGTTAGTATGAGCACCATTTCGTGTGCAATGTAATTTAATATGTGTTAGTCAAACTTTTGTACCTTCATTTCTTTGGAGAACTTCCGTGCTCTTAATTTTTTTTGTCACAAATTAGTAACACAATCCTGGAATTTGTTTTCTTGCGTAGAGCAATACTGCAGTGCTCCTGCTCCTGCAACGGATTTGCTATGCCATTTTCATTTGGGAGTAGGAGTTTTATCAAATCAATTGGTTGTCTTACTTAATTTTTAACCTCTTGCAGTATAAACAAAGGGATGAACATTGATGATTTCAAGTTCATATACTGGATGGAGTATGCACATCGAATGTGGGGAAGGGCACTGGGAATCATGTTTGCGCTGCCATTTTCATACTTTCTTCGTAAGGGATATATTACCCCACGACTTGGTCTTAGACTCTCTGCACTCTTTGCTCTTGGTGCTGGGCAGGGATTAATTGGTTGGTGGATGGTAAAAAGTGGTTTGGAGGTATTTTCATATTTTCTGATATCAAATTATATTATTAGATGCAAAGCTCCTCGTAATGGTTTAACTTCTTTTCTGCACAGGAACCTCCATCTGAGTATGCTCAACCAAGAGTAAGCCCTTACCGTCTTGCAGCTCACCTTACTTCGGCATTTGCTATTTACTGTGGGCTCTTTTGGACTGCTCTTTCTGTTGTTATGCCTGAACCCCCTGCTGAATCAGTAGCTTGGGTTCATGGGGCGGCAAAGGTTAAGAGACTTGCCCTTCCAGTAGGCATACTTGTCGGCATCACTGCTGTCTCAGGAGCATTTGTTGCGGGAAATGATGCGGTTTGTAACTAATGATTTCTTTTTCATACAATCTTTCAAAATTTTCTGGGCGGTAACAGTAGTGGTTGTTCCCTGAAAGCAAATTATGATGTAAATTCTGATGTTTCCTTGCCAGGGCCATGCATTTAATACTTTTCCAAAGATGGGTGATAAATGGATTCCAGATGATATTTTTAGCATGAAGCCAATTATGCGAAACTTCTTTGAAAATACGTCCACTGTGCAGGTAATATCCTAATTATTCATCCTGCAAATCTCTTTAAGTAGACCGTATCTCTTACCACTCAGGTTGATTTGGCAGACAAGAAATTGGGGCAAAAATTGAAAATTTAACTTACAAGAATGATCAAAAGAATGAAAATTTAACCACCGACGAGGGAAATTAGACAATGCTTTTTTTTTTTTTTTTGTAATTGATTTCATGTCCTTTTCCCTTATTTTTTGGTATCATATGATACGTATTGCGCGATATGCCATACGCATCATATGATACATAATGTTACACAAGCAAAACAATACATATTGCTCAAGTGTATCGCTCCATACAGGTAACAATATGGGCGAAGTGTTTTGCTGGGTATTACGTGCGTAGGGAATCCCACGTCAGATAGAAAAAGAAGTAAGAGTATCTTAATATATTATGGATGGGTTAACTATCTATAGGCTAAAACATTTAGGTGGGAATGAGCCATAGATCACTTGTATATTGAGCCATAGATCACTGGGCTCCCCATCTCCCAACACGTTTCGTGCAATACGAAACGCTCGATACACACATCTGCTAGTTATGCAGCAATCTGTTCTTTGTTGGTAACAAATCTAATTACTGAAGGTGTTTTTTGGTTAAAGACAAAACAACAGCTTAAAGCAAAGTACTATGTCACTAGTAATTAGCTGTTAGTAATTAGATTGTTCAAACACTATGGAAGTTAGCATCCTTTTTCAGTAGAGACCAGACATCTTAGAAGAAGATCCTATCAGAAAGTTATTGTTGCCAAAATTTTAAATCCAAAGACCCAGTTCCTAGACTTGTCTTTTTACAGATGGGTATTGATCTTGAAAGGTTATAAATCAAAGCCGAATTGTGATCAGTAATCACTAATCTTTGTGATGGCTCTGAACATGGCGTTCCTGATATTGAAGTACATTTCTTAATATTTACAGCTTGATCATCGTATCCTAGCAACTGCAACTTTAGTTTCAATTGGTGGCTTATGGTGGTCAACAAGGAAACTGGACATACATCCTGCTATACGATCTTTAATTGGAAGCACCATGGGAATGGCTGCTCTTCAGGTATTTGTATCAAGTTCTTTGCCTTGTCTTTTCAAATGGTTTCTGAAGTTTCTTAATTGTTGTTCTGTTATTGTGGTCAATTCCACGATCAACTACCTTCTCTGGAATGCGAAAACTCATAACATGCAGATTTGTAAATCGATTTGATTTTATCTGCAGGTCACTTTGGGAATATCAACTCTTCTATCTTATGTGCCTGTCTCGCTGGGCACTGCTCATCAGGCTGGGGCTCTAACTCTTTTAACACTAATGATCCTGCTCAATCACACTATAAGAAGACCGTCATTATCACTCCTCAAATCGCTGCCTTCAGTTGCAAAAAACCTGATGGTCTGAACCTTGAGATTATGTGATGAGCATTATTCTTACATTTATTTTTAAATATCCGATAGCCAAGTTAAGAAATAGCAGTTGATCAGAGATGTACTGTAGCTTGAACAGTGATGTAACTATAGCTGTGAAATGCCATTGATTAATTGTTAATCCAAAGTCTGATCATTTTTTAGTGTTGACATTTTTTTATGGATGATTGTCATATATTCTCAAGTATTCTCTTTTTTGGGGGAGTAGACAGTCTTATGAAGACGATCATAACATTGCCCCCACCCCCTCCCTCCATAATCATAGCATAGATGATCCTCGATGAGGGTTTTATCCAAAGCGAGAGAAGGGGATCATAGTTGATGGAGGCCTTGGGAAGAAAGAAGTCAACTGAAACTGAGAAGATATTAGCTGAGCCTCTATAGGAGCAGATCCAATCACTCTAGATCTGGTTGTGCCGTTATCTCTGCCCCCAATCCTATCCCACCACTCCAAGAAAACGAAAAACAAGAGAAAATGTTTTAAGTACTTCACAAACATTGAGAGATGCCAATAGGCAACAGAGAAAATCACAGCATCTGACCTACATAAACAACTAGAAACATGAACTAAACCACATGCGGATTCAGACAGGCATCACAGACTAATCGGTCCAGATAAAGGCGAAATAAAGGATTCAGACAGGCATCACAGACTAATTGGTCCAAATAAAGAGCGAATAAAGCAAACCATAAACGCAACACCACAACACTGCAATGACTTGTACAGATACCTACAACAATTAAAACTATACCAAGAAAGGAACTATCAAGGCTGGACCCATAAGCTAACAAACAGTGTAAGCCTGAGCTACAATTCCATGAGCAACACTACCATCATCTCTGGGAAACCTTCATAGCACCACAATTTAACTAGACATGAATCTCATGTTCATCTTCCAAAATGATGAGTACCCGTAAGCCATCTGGAGTGGAGTACAGAGAAGCAGCTCCTAGTAGAAGCATTTGAGTAAAAGCGCGAATTATACAAAGGGAATAGTAACATTGAAAAAAAAAGTTAATGGCATTTCCAGACTTCTATTTCCAAAAGATCGTGAATGGAAAGATACTTCATTCAACACAATGTTTCTACGTAGGCAGACCTTGTGAAAATTTGAACAGCATAGAAAACTAACGGCCACGTCCACGCCCCCGACCACGTCCTCTGCCCCGACCACGTCCCACTGCCCTCCCTGAAATTAAAACATTGAGAAGATCAAGACAGAAAAATGGGGCAAAATACAACATAAAGACATCACAACACATTAAAATGAAGCCAGAGAGGGAAGTGCAATACCTGCTGTTGGCTTCTTGGGCTTGACCCTTGGTGTCTCCTCTACAAGCAGAGTTTCAAGATTTAAGCTGTCAGGAAGGATATAATACCGAATGTTGGTGCCCCTGACACTCAAATGATCAAGAGTTACAGGGTTTTTCCCCTTCAGCGTTAGTTTCACTGTCTTCAAATGTGTGTTCATGCTAATATCCACGCCTACAATAGACCAGCAACCAACAGTCAAAAAATCAGGTTCATCACCTCAACGTTTCATGTTTGTATGTGCTCATTCAATAGAAGTTTAATTCCCCCTCCCCCAAGTTTCATGTCTGCCTGTGCAGCTCTACAGATGGAAGAAGATACGATTGTCCTAAAATGGTGAATCTAGTTGGATACTAAACTGTTAAATTGTAAAACAAGTATCAAATTAAAATTCAGGACATTTGAAGAAGGCATAATAAAGCATGTGGCATAAATATTAAGTGAATGTGAAGGTTTAGCAGTCTGTCACTTGCATGAAACTTTCAAAAACACTAAAACCTTAAACTGGTGCAAAGAATTTTTTTCAGATTACCAGACTTCACAAGCACACCATAGATTGAGTTGTGTCTAAGATAGGCATATAAAGATAAAATGAAAGAAATATGGACACAAAAAGTAGAAAAGAAAACAGAATATTGCATGGATGAGGATGAATGGGATCAGGCTGATAAACATTGAAAAAGTTTCCACAAGGGAATTGTTTAGCTAAAATGGTAGGTCCTTATCATTATACACAGGTTATAGGCATTCCACTGCATTGATTTCAACAATAGATATCAGACTGGCTCATTTTCTAGGCTTCGGAAAAATTGCACTTCCAGTCCAGATGGATTTGGCCAAGAAACCATATAGAAAAGATGATTTGTGTAAAAACTGAAAAGTCTAATGGTGGTAGAACATACTCATATTTATTCCTGGTGGTAATAACGGTTAAGATTCACAGGATCAAGTTAATGTGCAAGTCATAAGCGACATGACACCATTGATTGGGTATGAACAAATGGTTAGAAGTAAAATATTGCTATTGTTGTGTTGTACATACACAGAACACTCAAATCAAGCAATTTATTTCCAAAAACCCGTGCAAGGCGGCAAGACTGACAATGCAATCCATTACATGACACGGTTTAGCGGTGTTGTCCTAGTTTTGCAGCACATGATGCTAAAACAGCTATCCACATGTTAATCCTCATTCCAAACGCCAAAACAATTCTACCAAATCTGGAGAAGACAAACAAGGCTTTCTACTATTAAAAAAGGGAAAGAAAATCAGGATAAGGTTGAAATAGGGACTTTCACTCCCTCTAACCCCTCTTGTCCCTTTTCTTCCCTGAGGAAAAGACTAATGTCTCAGGTTCATCGCTCCTTCAATAAGTAAGTTAACAAACACCCTAAATGATATATGTGGCCGTTACACAACAACAAGGCTCAATCCTACTGAAGGCCCTGAAATTGTTCTGAATATAGAAACACCCCCACTCCTCCTTATGTGGTGATCTTTGACTGGGGCAAAGCCTGGAAAGAAAACTAGGTTAACTAAGAGTCAATAGCTAAATTAAACTCCCAACTCGATTCGTTTGGGCTATGATATTTTCCCCAGTAGTTTCTGAAACTCCACAAAGCTTGGAGAGCAATTAATATTGAAAGGGTATATAACAAGAGCCAGTTTCTAGCAACAACATATCTAAATTAAGAATTTGCACTGATCTAATCAAAGCTTGGCATAACGCTCACGCAGATAATCATATACAAAGATGGACTGATCTGTTTGATTAGAAAAACCTAAAGTTCAGAACATTACAAAAGCCCAAGGGTTTTCCAACTAGCAAACCTTAGTTTCATGAGAATAAATCAGTTTTTTAGGCAGAAAGGAAAAGGGGAGAACCAATATGTCCAATTAATGCGGTGATGAAAGAGAATGAGAAACAGAGGAAGCGTACCAGTGATGGTTCCGTGAACAACAGTGCCGTTTTTGAGTTCGATCGAGACCGTTTCGTTGTTCAATTTCATCAGAAACCTACAGGACGAAAAAAGAATAGGGAAAAGTCAGATCACTAGTCGAAAACAAATCAGCAAAACAAGGAAAGGAGGAAGAAAGAGAAGAGGACACAGACCTTACGAGCTTCATTGTTGTAGGAAGGAAATGCAGAAACTGAAGAACTAGGGCTTGAAGCAGAAGCAGAACAAAGTGAAGTGCAGTCAGGAAGCGGGAGACCAAAAATGGTCGTTCATTAAAGGGTAAATTACATCCACCTCCCTCAAGGTTTGTCCATATAACAACCAGGTCCCATGTTAGACATATAATAATACTGCACTTCCCTCTGCTTTAGTTTTTGGGTATAGCCGTCATAATTAAGGGCCCAATAAATTCAAAAGGCCTCTACAAGGATAGTGGCTCATAAGGCCTCTACAAAGATAGTGGCTCAAATGGATCACAACAACTTGTCCACGACAAGAGTAGAATAGACCGCACCCAAAGGGTAAAGCCCAACAGTACTATAAGACTTGAAGACCAGCTCAGTTCCAATCCAACTCACTTGGAATTCAACTCAGGTCAGAAGAGCTCGGCTCAATGCCTATCCTAGAATTCTCCGTTGTGCCACGTGTCCCAAGGGTAGATGGATCATTTCTGACACCCATAACGAACACACACTCTCTGTCACAGAGAATATTGGTGCGCATAACCACTCCAGGACTGTGGGTGCAGTGGCGTCATGTGACAGAGATCGCTACAGAATAAAAGTAAAAGGACTCACAACATCAACAAAAAGGAAGTAGGACGTCCAAGAAATCCTAGAAGAATCACTTGTATAAATAAGACACCATTACACTACAATAAAAAAAAAAGGGGATCGTCTCCCTCGCAGCATTCTAAGTCATCTACATAGAAAAGTTTAAGTTATCTGAGCATCTTCTTGAAAAGGCTCTGAACTAGCAATATCTTTGTAATCACCTATTTCGAATAATACACAACCCTCAAGAGCAAGAGACTCCCTTACAGTGACGTAACCTTAGTTTTTCGGCTAAGATAAACCACTTATACTGTTTTCTGATTTTCCTCTTACGGCCTTATTCATTTCTAGTCTCTACATTTACTCTGCATCTTGCCAACTGACCTCGGTTTTGGACTTGGGCTAAACTATTTCCGAGCACCATTAGTTATCATTATAATGTTTGTAGCATTCTTATTCTTCAGTTGAAGGTAAAATATTTCTGAACATCAAGATATCTATAATATAAAACACAACGGGCTTCAACAAGCCGATCGAACAGTTACAATTCATTTCATCCAAAGGCTGCCAATAACCTATTCTTTCTCCCCAAATACATCATTTCTCCCCCGCAAACTATTTCAAAGTCATTTCTCCCCTATACGTTTCCCTCAAATCCATCTCTATCAAGCACTTTTCCCCAAATTTCACTCCCTTCTCACCCGATCGTTAACCTCTCTCTCTAATCTATCTTTCTCTCTTCTTTGTTTGTCCAAACAGCAACCCACCACAGCTCTGTTTTTCTCTCACTCTCACGCTGCCAACAGAGACGTCGCCAGCAACGACGATTCTCACTCTCCAGGTATCTCTCTCTTTGTCCCTCTCTTCTCTCTCTCTCTTTCTATTTTTCCCTCTTTCTCTTCCATCTTCGGTTACCAGCATGACCATACCCTTTTCCCACAGCTCCAATCCATGGCACATGAAGTGTTTGTTGAAATGTCATAGAAAAATATTTAGTAATAAATTTCTTTTTCCTTTTAAGTTCGAGTTTGGTGGTGATTTCTCTCTCTCATTCTTTTACACTCTTCATATGCCTCTCTGTCTTCATCACACAACACACCATACAAAAACACGACACACACAAAATTCCCTTCTCAACCCCTGTTTTTCATAAATTACGAAAAATATACACACTCACACAATATCGCACACATCCACCCACAACACACACCCCCACACTTCGCACACGCACAAACCCCTAGCCATAGTACAACACACAAATACACACCTAGCACACACACCCAACACATAATTACACATACCCACAAATTGAAATTGCACACACAAAAGTTGTTAGTTAGGTGTTGATTTGCTGTCAACCGTAATGGACATCAAGTGTTTGTTGGAATGCCTAAAATAAATATTGTATGCTCCACCATTCTTTTTTCTTTTGATCGGTATGAATTTACTGTGTACGCATTTTTTATAGGTATAATGTGTTGAAATTATGTTTCAATTAAAGTTTGTTGAGTTTTATTGAAATTGAGGTATTGTGTGGATTTAAAATTGCATTTCTTTTGCTTTAACTAGAGCTCATATCACAACTTTCAAGCTAGAGAATACTTTTTATTTTGAGGAAGACAATAAATTTGAAAGACTCAACTTGGATTTGTATTCATTACTATTATTCTTTTGCTTGAAAATTGTACTTAAATGCATATACATTGGATTGAGAATATGTTATTCTAGAATTGAAATTAGAGTACTAAATTGAATTTAGTTTTTTAGTCAATTGCTTAGACTTTTTATACTTTAGGCTTTTTTGCTTTCTATAAATTGAATGTAATTGGTAATCCCGTTTTGTCTTTACTTCATTTGTATGTTGTTATGGAATTCATTTATGTTGTGGTAGTAATTGATAAATGATTTCATTGTGATATGACTATGGCATGATTGTGAGTTCTATTTGATGGTTATGAACCGTGTATAAATAGGTTTAACTTTTTTGGGATACTATTTTTAGAGGAAATTCTATCTAAACATTTTCGTACATTTAGCTGTTGAGGTTGGCTACCATTGTATTGCTTCAAAGTGGTTTTGTTTTCTGGCATATGTTTGCTATCTTTTAGAAAGTTGGTGGTGCTAATGTCTTTCATGTAATGCTACCTGAGAATTTTTTTTTTCTTATTAATTATTTGGGACTCTTGAAGATATTGTCAAATTTAATTGCCAGACATGAATGTAGTCTCTATTTGACCATCAATCTATTTGTTTTTCCATGCATTCATAAACTACACCTTATTGAGATATTTTGTTATTAGGTTAGGTACAATTTGCACCGAGTTTTGTTAGTAGGTCTAATTTGATGTATTTTTGGGATTCATGAGTGTATTTCTTTTGCTTGAATTGATTATTTGGTGGACAAACATTTGGAGCTTACTGTTTGCATATCTTTTGATTCCGAATAATTAGGCGAAGTTCTCATTATTCTTTTTCACAAAATTTTAATCTATTCCAGGGGCAGATAAATGTTACTTTATCAGTTGTCTTAAGAGTTTCAACATCGCACTCATGCTTCTAGGCAAAGTTCGAATGGTAACTTAGTGAATTTTCTATGGTTTGATTTTTGTCAACACTTTTTCTAATTTTTTTTTATTTCAGGTTTAGTTAAAGGCATTGAACATTACAACAGTGAGCACAAAGATTTTCTCAATATTGGCTGCAACATATTCCTATTGGTAATTACTTCTTCAATTAAATTTCAGCTTTTTGATAGTCTATTTTTGCAAATTGATAATCATAGTACTAGGATATTTACTAAGTGAATGATGTCGTATAACTTTTATATGTGCGATGCGATGACTTTAATTATCATGGATTTTATGATTTTACAGTGTGAATTTGAATATATGCGATTTAGATATTATAAATCTTTTATTTTTATTTGAGGGGTGATTTAATGAGTATACAATTTGAATAACGTTGGCATGACGTAGTGGTAGTGACATATTTTTTAACTTACATGATTTCATAGTCTACATAGGTTTACTTGCTCATTTGCTCATGCACCCACTTTTTATGTCTCAGATAGACCTATATTACATTTTTCTTTTCAGTTAGTTTTAAATTTTTTTGTTAGCATTTTTTTTGTAGAAATATTTGAGAGGGAAGAAGGCTTTGATAAAGAGAGTACTTTAGAGAATAATACATTGTTCATTGTTTTTTTTCCCGGTATGTTCATTGTTCATTGTTTTTTTTTCCATGATTAATTGGTCTATTCAATATATTAGTGGAACAATTGCTTTCTTTTTGTTTAGGTTGTGGTTTAAATTAGAACAGATGATCAAGAGAAGACTTTTTAAATTCAAGCAAGAGAATACTTTGGAATTAGAGGTTTGGCAGGGGCACATATAAAGATTGGGTCGTGGAATTACTAACCCAACTACAATTGTGCTACACATTGGTTACCTCTTCTTAAGCCATAAGTTTCCTATTTACATGATGTTATATTTGCAACTATTGCATTCTATTATAGATGTTTCAATTCAAGTTTGTTGAGTTTTATCGAAATTGAGGTATTGTGTGGATTTGGAATTGCATTTCTTTTGCTTTAACTAGAGCTCATATCACAACTTTCAAGCTAGAGAATATTTTTTTTTTGTTTGAGGAAGACAATAAATTTGAAAGACTCCAACTTCCAAAAGACATGAATTTTTTTTCAATGGGACTACCAAGAGATTTTAGTCAGATGCCTATAGTTTTAAAATGCATGCCTATATTTTTAAAACACATGCTTAATTGTCTATGCTGCTTTAATTTTGGACTTATTTTCTAGCAATTCTACATGGAGTTGGACATTACAATCATTTGGAATTATGTGGTTGTGTGTGTCGTGGGTGTCTAAGTCTTGCTATGAACTGTTACATAGATAAAGTTGAATTAGACTGTACGACGAGTATTAGTATGTCTTTGTGTGACACCCCAAAATCCGGGGGTCCGTTGATTACCCATCAACCCGCGGAATACCCGTAAATACCGAGTGACTCGACATCACACCGTTATGTCCCATTTACCGAGGTCCATAACTTAACAAAATTTGGGCAGAGTCTCCTTTGTACAGAGAACTCTACCCAATACCCAACCTGTGCAACATAACTCACATGACCCATCTGAGGCCCAATATAAACAATGACCGCACCGGGTCCATTTATAAGTAAACATTGACCACACCGGGTCCAATTATCCATATTTATAGCAAAACATGCAAGGTTACTTTAACATTAGTGCATATATGTAATAGTTATCATTTAAATCCACCAAGGTCTAATAAGCCTCAATATACCTCAATTAGTGTCCATTTGTATCCTTGGAACTAGAGAAATCCAAGTCCATTGGTGTTCTTTGAATCAAAGAAATC